TTTTCTGCCATCACTTCTGTGAACAGTTCTTTTATGCCATCTGCTCTCTCTCCTATTTCTTTGTTGACTCCAATTAGTCTTATGTTATTCTTCTTTGCATCATCTACCAGCTGGTGGATTGATTTCTCATGGTCTCTTAAAATTTTAAAGCAATTTTTCTTTTCCTGTCCACTAATTGCAATCTTATCTTCTATATCTGAAATTCTGTTCTCACATTGGCTCATTCTGCTGTGTAGACTCTCAGTGGAGTTTTTAATCTCCTGGCAATCTGTTTGCATCTGTTTTATTAATTCCATTTGTTTCCTATGTTGGGATTCCATCATGTTCCTGAGTTCCTCTTTAGATTTATTGTCTTTCACTATGAGCACAATCTCTGCTGTTACCTGCGAAATTATTTCTGATATCATTTTTTTCCAGATCCTCTTTTGTTGCCAGTTCAGGGAATCCAGGTGGTTGAGTATCAGAGTGTTCCATCTCATTTCCCTTTGGGGTTGCTGTAGTTGATCTGAAAGTCTGATTTTGAGACTTATTTATGTGTGTTCTCATTTCGACTGGGTAGGGCGATTGCTGTTGGCGCCCTCCCGGTTCACCTCCTGTGTGCTGGCGGGGGTGGTATGGTGGCCAGGAAGCCTCCTCTTGTGCGCTGGGAGTGGCTCACCTCTTGTGTAATGACGGGGGTGGTATGGCGGTCTGGAAGCCTCCTCTTGTGCACTGGGAGCAGCTCACCTCCTGTGTGCTGGAGGGGGTCAGTAAGGATTCTTTCTTAATGCAAACCGAGTCTGAACATAAGATAATTTTGATCATTTTCCCTCTTTCCTACAATTCTAGATGTGAAATAGCATCATAGTCAGTACTTCCCTCTGTATTACATTTTGTTTCTAGGGAGTAGGCAGACCATGAGACATTGGATTTAAGTTCCCCTGCTGAGATGCAAAAAGAAAGAATTTGCATCCTTTCAATTTCTATTTGCTTTCAGTACCCTCAAGGTGTTCCCAGAGTTGATGACAGTCCATGGCAGGTGGCTGTCATCTCTGTCCAATTATCTTGGCAGAAGAACTTCAAATGACATAGGGCATACCACATATGGACCTCCAAATAATATAAAGGAAATACTATAATTCCCAACCTGCTACATGTCTGACATGCCAAGTTTGTGTTCTCTAAAATCAAAGAATGAATTCTAGGAGCAATGGAGATTAAGAGTTGGAAGAATTTATTGAGGGTAAGATAGTTTCCTTCTAAGAGAGACAGAAAGGGATCTGGAAAGTGGAGCTCTCTTTTTGATTAAACATTATATTTTTGGGAAGTATATCAATGCTGAATGATAGAGCTGTAGTTTTTATTTACATGTTGAGTAGTGTTGCATCAAATGAAAGTTCTCAGTTTCAACTCTTCATTCCCCATGTATTAGACCTTTGTGTTGTTTCTAATACTTTGCTCTTACAAAGGTGCATATATATGAGCTGTGCCTAGTGGCACATGCCTGTAATCTCAACTACTCAAGAGGCTGAGGTGGGAGGATCACCCATTCAAGGCTAGCCTGGGCAACTTAGTGAGACCTTGTTTCAAAATAAAATAAAAAAATTAAAAGGGCTAAGGATGTAGCCCAGTATAAATTTCTCCCTGAGTACCATCTTCAGTATAAAAAAGTGCACATGAAGACTATCCATATGTATATTTCCTGGTGCATCCTTGAACTTCTACCCAGGAGAGGAATCATTGGGTCATAATGAAGGTACTATTGAAAACTTCCCCATATCTCTGACAATTCTTTAAAAATGAACCATTATTTAAAATACTGAGTATAGTGCCAGAGATTTAGCTCAGTGGTTCCACCACCTGCCTCGCAAGCACAAGGACCTGAGTTCGGTCCCTGATACCAAAAAAAAAAAAAATACTGAGTACTATTCCTTCTTATGGATGCAGCAACATTTATGTAACCATTAACTGCGTGGTGTGGCATCATGTGGAGAATCACAACACTGGGCACCAGCATGAGTACATTACCTTCCAGGGAATCCACAGCATCTACGGGAATCAGGCTGATCAGCTTTGCTTCTTACATGCTGAGGAAAACAGTGGCATTTCCCTTAATCTCTGGCAGCCTGGCATCTCCACCTTAACCAAGGGAACATAATAACATTGTCAACTCTGAGGGCTGCTGGGAGCAGTAAATACAAACACTTCACTGACCATCAGCATTGTTTACTGCGATGGGGTCAGGCTTATGATTGAGAGCTGTAGGGAATTTGGTTTTTCCTCCAGTTGGAGTGGGGGCATACACATGCTCTAGCCCACAGCTTTCAAACCCCAAGGAGCACACGCAATTTGGATCTCATTGAAATGCAGGTTTCAGTGGGGTGTGACCCTGCATTTAGAAGCAGTCCCATGCTGCTGTTGGTCTGCACAGGTAGGGTTTGCATAGTGTGGTGTCTTCAAAGGGTCCACTCATCCAGCCTGTGTTCTCCCACAATGCAGGCAGCAATGATGAGGGGCAGCAGTCAGTCAGCCTTCCTTCCCCTGGTGGGGGTGGGGTGTCCTTGGCTAGGTGAAGGCTGCTTAGGGACTGCAGGTGCTTTCCTTGATGTCTTGATGATAATGAAGTCTCAAAGAAAACAATGTTCTGTTTTCTCTGCAGTACTCCCCAGTCTTTCATTTCTGCAATCAAGGATAAGAAGTGGGAAAACAAATACAAGCAAATGAACTACTGGCCTAGCAAGATATGTCATCCAGTCCTGAGTTACTAAGAAGTATTTTTTTCTCAACTTGAATTTACTCAGCACAATCGTTTGAATGCATTCCCTCCATATCTGTATATTGAACTCTAACCCCACTCTGGTGGTATTAGGACATGAGCTGTGGGAAGGGATTGGGTCATGAAGGTGGGGCCCTTGTGTGTGGGGCTAGTGCCTGCTATGATTTGAATGTGTCCCCAAAGGTTAGGTTTCATGGTGGTGGAAACTTCAGGAGGTGGTGCCTTGCAGAACGAAGGTCTTTAGGTCACTGGGATGTGTGCTCAAAAGGGATTGTGTAGCTCTGACCTTTTCTTCTTCTCTTTGGCTCCCTGGATCATGACTGGAATAGTTTTGCTCTGTGTGCAAGTCCCACCATTGCTATCTGGTGCATATACCACAGGCTCTTGGGTTGGAGCTTCCAAAACTGTGAGCCAAGGTATATTTCTTTCTCTTATAAGTTAATCACCTCAAGCATTTTGTTATAGTGACAGAAAGCTGAATGTCACAGTTCCCTTATCAGAAGAGACTCCAGGGAGCTCTCCTATTCTCTGCTCTCCATCCTGTGAGGACACATGGAGAACATGGCAGTCGAAGGCTGGGAAAAGGGCCTCACCAGAGCCCAGCCATGCTGGCCCCCTGATCTCTCTCAGGCACCCCCTCCCCCCCGCCATGCAGAATGGAGAGAAATAAATGTCTGTTGTTTGACAGTTAATGGTTAATTTTGTTATAGCAGGCTGCATGGACTAAGAAACTCAGCATGCATTTCACTATTATTTAATAAAGTCTTTGACTATCTATTAAAAACAACTCCCATTTAGGAGTCTTGAATAAAGAATGGATATTATACCAAGTAGATGTGATAATATTTGCACAAAAATAGCATATTCCTACAGCTAGAGAACAAAATCCTGTTGTGGGCAAAGGCTGGACTTGGGGAGAGGTAGATGGGAGTCTGCTCTCTTATCTCCTCTTCCCTCATTTCACGCTTTAGAAAGACCTCAAAGCCAACAGACTCCTTCAGTTACTGCCTGGTTCTTGTTGCCAAGAGGCAGTGAGGTGAAACATGAGTCCTACTGTCTGAACACTGTCACCTTATGATCTTGCTCTGGCCTGAAGACCCAGGTGACTGAAGACCCTGGACAGAGTGACATCCCTCTAACTAGCCCGTTTCTGAGCTCTTTCTTCTCATTGCTGTCACCTACACTGCATGGCCATGATGTAGAGGGATAGAGCCTTTCCCTTTCAGACCATCACAGCTGCACACTGTGCAAGTTTCCATCCTCTGGGAATCTCCCCACAGCCTCTCCTAATTCCCCAGCTTTGCATTATCTGGGCATCTGATATGCTCCCAGGAGATTACAGCTGTTGATCCATGGTTTCCCCAAAGCAAGCCATGCATCCCAAGATCCTTCAACCCAGGAGTTCACCCCCTCACGGCCTGTAGTTGACTCCCAAGGCCACAGTAGTTCACTGAACTTCTCCATCATGGGCATACCACTCTCACTGCCGTGGTACCCTGCAGATGGCTCTCCTGAGCAGTGCTCAGATATGTATGGGTGGGGCTGCTCAAGACACCTCAGGAGACCAGACCACCACCCTGAAGTGTGTATCATGATCCAATGACCTCCAGTCTCAGGGGGCTACCACTCTGCCAGCTGTCTGTCATATCCTGCTGTGTCTTTCAGCTCCTTGGGACTCTATTCAACCCCATCCCCCTTGCCCTCAGTGGAAGCTGCTGCCTCCCCCTTTATTGTTTAACTGAGAAATCAGGCACTTTCCTGATCATCTGCCCCTTCTCCTCACACCTCTCCATGTTTGCTCTGAGCTTCAACCTTGAACCTTTCCCAGAGGGTGAGGTTTCCTGTCATCTCTACTCAAAAGCACAATTCTTGAGTCTTGTCGCAGCCCTCTGATGCTGGAGGATGTGTTAACATCTGTCCTCTTCCTTCTTAGTCTATAAACTCCATAAAGCTAGAGGCAATGATTTCTATTCCAGGCTTACTTTTGTTAAAGAATTTTCTAGTTTTGCTTCATTTTTGGATAGTGTTCAGTAAGCATTTGTTCAGGGAATGAACCCAGTGCATGCCATCGACTCCCACACTGTATTGCTAAATCTGACCTGACCTTCTCACTGGCTCTTGTATTAGTTGGCATTCTGCTCACTCATGAGCAATTTCAGCCCCATGTGTCCAGAGTTGAATCCATGGTCTTTTTTCTTAAATTGATGTGAATCCAGGTTCCCTATCACTAAATTGTCCACCTAGACATTTGGAGTTGTTTCTGAATGACTCCTGATTAAATGAGCTTTGCCTTCTCGATCACATTCCAGGTCTGTCCAATTTATGTCCACTCTGTTACTTTTGCTAGATCTCAGCAGTGGGATCCAAGCATGAACTATCTGACTAATGTTGCTTCCCAGATCCTCAGACCTGGGTAACAGCTACTCTGTTTCAGCCACAGGGCCTCAGGGAAAAAGCAGGGTTGGTCCCCACCCTACTTCCAAGTCTCAGTTTGTGTTGCCAAATAAGTAAAAGGGTGGGTGGTTCCACCTCCATCTGGGCATCCAGATCTTCCCATTGCCTGTGAAAATTTGGCAAGTAAAAATTCCAAGCTTGCTCCACAACTTGCATGGAAACACCAAATTCTAAGCACTGCTGCAAAGTGAGAAATAATAATCCTACCAATTAACAAGAAAATAATAATCACAAAAGCTACATGAAATATTACATAAAACTTTTGTATAAACGATTACCCAAAAATCCATCTCCAAAAGGACTTACCAAAATAGAGCCACAATCACATTATCTTCAGGACCAGTAGCTTCCTCACTCATCCTTAACACTGTGAGTGAGGAATGCCTCACAGACAGATAACTCCTTCCCCAAAAGTTGAGACCAATTGTCAGGAAAGGATGGAAAAGAAAATCCCAGATTCCTGGCCTAAACCATTATCGTTAAGGAACTTAAGAAATATGAGAAACAATATTTTCTTTTTGATTGAATTGATAAGCTCAATTTCCAAGTTTAATGAAAATCAAACAAAGCCACTAATAGCACCACCCATCAATCCAGGAGGTAGAAGGGCCTGAGAGGTAGCTTCAGAGCACTTGGAGGTGGCTGTGCTCACAGCTAGGCTTGGGAAACTCAGTGTAAATGAATCAAGGTAGATCACATCATGCATGCAAAGGCATCTGCTTCTGTTCCTATGTATCCCAGGCCGGGACTACCCCCATAGCCTGTCTTGTGTGTCCATGATGAGATAGTGGCTTCAGGACAGGTGCACAGTGTTGTGACTGTATCCTCTCCCCCTTGGGAACAATCTGTGTGTGGGAGCTCACTGAACCCAGATTCTGAAGAGTGGCTTCCTGCTGGGCCTTTTCATTACTCAGCTGGGCATCCCCAAAGTCCAAGCAACATGCTGGGGACAGGGACCCCAAAGACTGACCAAGGTGGCTGCAGACACCCTTGGCTTGGCAGGAGCGGGGGTGGGGAGTGCTGCCGAGTACTTGGCACCTTTGATTTAAGCCCTAGGCCTGGCCTGGGTGCTGATTCCAAGTGCAGTAGACACAGTTGGCAGGATGGGGCGAGGTAGCTGCCCAGATGAGGGTAGCCATCGAACATGGGGCCTGTAATGGTGCCAGTGAGGCCTTCTAGACAGCTGTGGACTACTGTGTCTTTCTTTGGGCAATTATTTTCTTTTACAGCCAACTTTCCCTTGGCATGGGCAGGAGGATCCTGTTTACTTTGGAATCAGACCGCCTGATTAGACCACCATGCTCTCCCACCTACTCCTGCCCCTCCATTCCATCTTCATCCTCATTATTAACTCCAGAGAGCAATTCTTAGCATGGAAGACTTAGGTGAAGCTTGTGTGACTCCTACCTCTTCTTCAGGTCCTGATTTAAAGCCACCTCCACTGTGCTATCCCTTTGTCCTGCCCTGGCTGGGTGAGGCACTCTGGCCATGGCTACCACAGTACCACATACCTGCCCTTCTGTGATGCTCTGCCTGGCAACCCTGTAAGCATCTCTGTGAGGTCAGTCCTCTACTCTAGCTACACAATCAGTCTGGGCCTCTACAGTCTGGGCATGACTACAGGGATTGAGTTCTGTGGAAAAGGGTCACTGCTCCCCATTATAACTCATCAAAAGCAGGCCAGGGGTGTACTCACAGGGGCCCCAAAGTATGGAAAGTGTTAGGAACAACAACTGTTCACTGACACTGGAAAGTCAAGTTTGCTGCCAGAGGGGTGACCCTGAAATACAGAAGGGAAGAGGATTCACTTGCTGTTTTTGGCAGTGATGATGCCTTGGGTCTAGAGGATCGTCTGGTGGAGGAGGACATGGATATTGGTGGTACATCTGGGCCAGAGGTTGGGTGCAGCACATTGGGAGTAGGTGTGTCCTCCTGGGGTGAGCCATTCTGGCTTCCCAGCTGCTCTCCACCAGTGGTGAAGCAGCTGTTCATGACCACTCTGTGTCTCTGTTCTCTTCCGCTGACTTGTCTCTTTGAGACGACACTACACTGTCTTATATTCACTATAGCTTTGTAGTAAATCTTGTAATCAGGCAGTGTAGGTCCTTCTTTCCAAAGTTGTTTTAAATATTCAAGATCCTCAGCATTTACTTGTACATTTTAGAACCACCTTGGTAATATATACAAAAAGTCTGCTTGATTGGGATTATTGTGAATCTGTAGATGAATTTGGTGAGAATTGACATTGTAATAACACCGAGTATTCTGACATATGAACATGATATGTCTCTTTTAATTTCCCTCAGCAGTGTCTTATAGTTTCCAAATATTTTGTCAGATTTACCCCCTAGTGTCTCATATTTTCTGATGTTATTTTTTGTATTTTAAAATTTTAATGTATGATTTTTATTGCTAGTATACAGAAATACAACTTTAAAAAACTACTAGTCTTGTGATGTGCAAATTCGCTATACTCACATTCATTCTGGTCATTTGAAGAGTTTTTTCCACTGGACTTTCTACAGAGATGATCATGACATGTGTGAATAGGGATAATTTTACTTTCCTCCCAATCTGGATGTTTTTTATTTCTTCTTCATGTTTTATTTTTTAAATTTATTAGTGTATGTTTGCAATATGTAATGAATGTATCATCACAGGTATTGTTGCATACACACTCTCCATCTTGATCCTTCCTCCTCCCCTTCCCCTCCCTGATTCTCACCCCCCATCCCCAGATCTGCTTTTTGTCACTGATCAGCACCTCCAGGGCAGACCTGAACAGAAGTGGTGAGTGGACACACTTGCCTTGTTCTTGATCTTAGGGGAAGATATTCAGCCTTTCACTATTGACTATGACACTTTTGTAGGTGGTTTGTTTGTTTGTTTTCTTTTCTTTGTAAATTCCCTTTATCAGGTTGAAGAAGTTCTCTTCTGTTAAGACTTTGCTGAGTGTTTTTATCAAGGATGGATGTTGTATGTTTTTCAAATGCTTTTGCCACATTTATTAAGATGGAAATACATGCCGGGGATTTAGCTCAGTGTTTTCACCACCTGCTGCGCAAGTGCAAGGACCCAAGTTCAATCCCCAGTACCAAAAAAAAAGAGAGATGGAAATATAGTTTTTCTGTTTCAGCTTGTTAATATGGAGATTATATCAGTTGATTTTGGAAAGCTATACTAGTCTTGTATTCCTGAGACAAACCCTACTTGGCCATGATGTACTGTTCTATTTATATAGTTTTGGATTTGATTTAGTAAAATTTTGTTAAGAATTTTCACATCTATGTTCACAAGGGATACAATCAATCGGGAAATATTCCTTCCTTTTCAGTTTTCTAGAATTATTTTTGTAGAACTGGTATTATTTTTTTCCTTAAATGTTGTAGAATTACTTAGTGAATTTGTCTGGGTCTAGGATTTTCTCTGTGGAAAAGTTTTAATTGAAATTCTGTTTTGTTAATGGATAATAAATAGGTTATTAACTGCTTTTAGAGTGATCTTTGTTAGTTTCTTTCAATAAAAATTTCCATTTCTTTTGAATTTTAAATTTTGTTGGCATAATTTAATGATAATTGTATTTGTTTTCTAGGATTTCTACGGCAATGTACTAGAAAATGGGTGACTTTAAACAGCAGAAACATATTACCTCATATTTGTGGAGGCCAGGAGTCCAAAATGAAGGTGATGGAAAGGTTGGCTCCTTCTAGAAGCTCCAAGGGAGAGGGTGTTCCATTCCTCTTTCCTAGCTTCTGGTGGCTGACAAATTCTTGGCAGTCCTTGGCGCTCAGATCCAGTGTCTTCCTACACCACTACTTGAGGGTCCCCCAAGGATCTTTCAATGGCAAGGACATCATCGGGTGACTGATTTAGGGGACACACCCATCCAGTATAATCTCATTTTAAATTGACTACATCTCAAAGACTCTTTCCAAATAGGTCACATTCACAGGCTCTAGGCAGACTTGAGTTATTTGGAAACACTATTTAACTGAGTGTAATAATATTGTCCTATTGTCCTTTTGATGTCTGTAGTAATGCCACTTCTCTTATTCATGATTTTGGTAATTTATGATCTCTCTTTCTCTCTCTGGCCATAGTTTAACAATATTATTAATCTGTTTGATGAATTGGCTTTTGGTTTAATTTATGTATACTTTCTTCTGTATTTCTATTTTTAATATTTCCTTTCTTTCACTTACTTTTTTCTTCTTTTTTTAAATTTCTAAAGGTGGTCCTTAATTTAAGACCCTTCTTATGATCAGTGCTATAAATTTTCTCTTTGTACTGTTTTAATGGCACCCAACAAATTGTGATAATTTATGCTTTTACATTCATTCAGTTCAGAATAATTTGCTGAACATTGTGGGCTTTACGTTTTTGAGTGCTAGATGTTTTTGTACTCATATCAATATTCTAGAGCTTTGTTTTGAGACCCAGTTACAAACTTGAATTCCAGTTCTATCCTTTTGGTCATGCTTTTAACGTTTTTTTAGGTTCACTGCTCATTCTAAGTCTTGCATTCTCCATTGCTGAAATTCTTGCTTTGGCTGGTGGGAACAGGCACTATTCCCAGCCTTGTTTGGGTCTGGGGAACTGCTGCCTCCAATCCTTCGAAATGGTTCTTTTTCTGGCCCCTACTAATTTGCTCAGAAGTGTTCACAGATCAGTTCACAGCTGGAGACTTGAGAGGATCCTTTGAAGTTACTGTGTTTTCTTTCTGTCAAGACATGGCTACATGTTTTTATAATCTCAGCACTGTGGGAGGCTGAGGCAGGAGGACTGCAAATTGCAAATTTGAGGTTGGCCTGGACAGTGTAGTGACTTAGTGAGACCCTGTCTCAAAATTAAAAAAAAAGGTGGGGAGAGTTTTTCTTTCTAAGTAGCTCTTTCCTGCTCAGTACTCTACTGTGTAGTCTCAGGTCCTGGTCTTCCTGGTCTCAGCTTCATCTTCTTAACTCAGGGAGTCAGCCAGGATCTTCCTGAATTTTCCTCCCTGTGTCATTACTGGGAACTCCTCGAGGAAACAATTTTCGGGTTCACCTCATCTTCCATCTTTTAGGATTGTTATCCTTGGTTGCTTTACAGTGTCCTACAAATCTTTGTTTTGTTTATTCATTATTCAACAGGTTTTGCTTCACTTGTGCTGTGGCTTGGGTGTGGTTTGTCCTCCAAGGCTTCATGCTGGTCTTGTAGTCCCAGAGTGGTGGGTGATGCTGAAAGGTGGGGGACCTGTAGGAAGAGGTGACTAGTGAGAGTTGGTCAGGTTGCAGGGGCACTGGGATTAAGGTAAATTCTGAAGAACATCAAGTTAGTGCTCATGAAAGGTTGTTATTGAAGGTGTGCTTGGCCTGCCCCTCACCATGGGTGCCTATCTGGCCATGTGACTGCTCCCTTTCACACACCCTCCCACTACATGACACCAGCCCCTGTTAGGCCCTCATCAGATGCTGAACCAAGGGAGCCACTCAATCTTGGACTTTCAGCCTCCAAAATTGAGCTACATAAAGCTCTTCTTTTTAACTTTTTCAGTCTCTGTTATTTCATTATAGAAACAGAAAATGGACTGTTATAGAGTGGGAGTGCTTATGGAGTCCTTGTCACCCCCTCTTGGCTATATGCTAAAGTCCCTATACTGCCCCTTGTAAGGTCTGCTTTTCACCTGAATACCACTTGCCAGAGCTGCATGGGGAAATTCAAGTTCATGTTATCTCCAGTTGGTTCTGTCAGAAATATCTCTCATTTTCAAAAACCCTTTAAACTCTAATTTTGTTACTTGAAAGTCAGAACACAATTCTTTCATTGAAAGTCTTAAAATTTCTTTTGCCTTTAGTGCAATTAATTTGTCAATGAGTCATTACAGATTCTAAGGTTTCACCACACATGAATAAAGATGATCACTTTTGTGAATGTCTTATTTACAAACTGTAAATATATTTAACTGCTCACTTACAGTACACACACACACACACACACACACACTGCATCATATTCAAGGATATTGAAAATGGAATAAAAAGTGCACTCAATGTTGAACAAGACAGCCACATACCCCATGCCCACCTTTTCTCCCATCCTTATTTTGTGGCATTAAATGAGGTCTGTGCAGCACCAGTGCACACAGCAGGTGTTGGCAGCCCACCTCAGCAGCCTCTCTCCTCCTTGGAGGAAGCTGCCTCCTCTCCCCCAATTTTATATAATTTCATTTGGCTGAGATGAGCTGCAAACAATGGGAAATCAAGGTTTAAATTATTTTGTGTGAAATACATTGAAATCCCTTCATGGGGTGAGTACCAGGTGGTAATTAACAGCATCTTGTTGGCAGTTTTAGGGGCAGCATTTGCCATATGGAGCTGTTTAGCTTCAGGGAATACACATACCCAGTGGCAGATCGGACTCATCAGCTCTTCAGGGAAGCAAGCTCTGGAGGGAATGGAGAGATGCAGCAGATCTGGCTCTGGCCGCAGGGAGGGTGAGCTGGCAGAGCCTGGGGAGGGAAAGCGTCTTGGAGGGGGCTATGGGGTGCTTGGGTGCAGTGGGCTTTCTGGCTCAGCCATCCTGTTCCCAGTATCATGCTTATTCCTATGGTGTGAAGAATTCTATCCTCAAGACGCGTACTGCACAGAATATGGGCTTACTAGAACCACTGGGCGTCTGGACTGTGACTCACATAGTGGGGACTCAGAATGCTCTCCGCATCATCTTAATTCTATTGACAGCAAGAGGATAGACAGAGTCAGCCAATTGTGTCTTTTCTCATGAGCAAGACAAAGGCTGCCAAGCTGAATTATGCCTTCATCCCTGCTGCTAAGAATTCATAGCTCAACATTTTCTTCTCCCCAAGGTGTTGTACTCTTCATTAAAAAAAACCTCTACACTCCCCTGTTAATGAAAATCCAAAAGACAGAGAACTAGAAGGAAGAAGTTTTAAATTCCCATAGACCCTCCAGACAAAGACAACCAGTGTTAACAATGGAATAATTTTCCCACTTAAAAAAATCTAGGTATGTTGGATGGTTCCTCGTTTTATACTTTTTAACATAATTGTGACCATACTTCATGTATAATTTCATATTCTGAGGTTTACATCATACATTATAACTGTAAAATTTCCCCATGTTTATTATACACTCATTATGAAAATAATGTGTGGCTACAGAAGATCTGTTTGGACATAGAGCATTTACTGTTAGTGAACTCTAGAACTGAAATTACTAGAATATGGCTTAGAATGTTTGATGAGGTGTTGTTCTCACTGTAAAATGATATCAAAGAAAAAATATCTAAGGAATAGAAGATAGGCAAACTCCACTTAACCATTTTCAAGACCAACCTTCAAGTCCATCACCGCCTTCAATCATTTAAACTTGCTTTTCTGGAAATTGTCTCTCAACTCTAAGTAAGAGTTATCAATCCTTCTAAACCCTTTAAAAAATAATTTTAGTCTTGGAATTCAGTAACATCGAAAGTTGTATGTCATATGTACTAACCCAGTCCCCTTATAACAGCATGTTTTGTGTACTAACCCAGTCCCCCATGCATCCATTAAATTATTTTAATAAATAAATTGGTAATAAATATAGAATCAAGGAAGCCTCTAGACTCAATCTATCAATGTAAAAGCATGCATTCAGTCCTCAGTATTAAATTGAGGAATGTAACCCATTTAAAATATTCAACAATTCTCCTCACCTTTTCCTCCTCTCAATTTTTAATATTTATGTTATCACCAGATATCTACTCATTATCTCACTCATTATTTTAGTTTTGTGTTTACATCTCCATTTCTTGGGTTATCCACTTTAGAAGTACCTTGTCTTCTCCATCATAGTATAAAGAAAAAAATAAACCCTTCTACTTTTTTTCCATTTTTCTTTCAACTTCTTAAAATATAACACTCCATTATATGGCCAAGGTTTCTGGCATTCATGTTTGGTTAAGCTTTCTGACTGAAGCTGTTTTCAGAACATCGGTGACCAGGCAGGGAAGAACCAGCCGAGAAAGGACCCATGTAAAGGGAAGGTGAGGCTTTGCAATTGCACCTGTGAGAGGCACTTGCCCAGCACATGGCCTCCAGGAACAGCATGGGACATTTTCAATCTTTTCCCTCTGTCTATCATTTGGAAGTCTCATACTGCCCTTGGAGAGTACTGGGGTAAGGAAAACCTTTACAGGGGACTGTCCTTCCTCCTGCTCATCTCCACCAATGCTGAAAAGTATGGGCTCCTCCCCCTCCTCCTCCTTCTCAGGGCTGTGAAGATGGCTCCCAGGAGAGAGAGGGAGGTAGAACTGGGGGGTCTCCATCTAATGAGCCAACTACACTGCTGCCTCCACTGTGGGCTCTCATATGCACCGGGAGGACAGACTCAGCAGATTGGATGATCAGCATTCCAGTCTGGAAACTATTGAGATCATTCTTCCTTCTCAGAGCTTACTAGATGGGCCAAG